TAAATCAAACGTACCTGTGTCGAGAGGAGTGAAGAGCTTGTTCAAATCAGAAATTTGTCATTATACCGTAAAAAGTCTTGAGGAAAATGATGCTTTCTGTTTCAACGTGATTGCTTTTAGAATTTGTGAAGCTCCTTTGTCATAGTAGACGTAGAGTCGCAATCAAACACTGCAGGTTGCTAAGACTGAAGGAAAGTTGATGAAATTGAACGAATCTTATTGGTTGGCAAATAATTAGTTACGCTACTAGCAACTGTTGCTACCATGCAAGAAAAATTTTTAATTAAAAACAGTGGATTTCAGTAAATGGACAGCTGTTTTTACATTTGTAGTTCACCCATTTGATCTAAACTATCCGAAATTATGTCTTCTCATTTGTATTTAGCATTTCCTTGACATATAGAATTAGCATATCTCATAAACTTAAATAGTCTGCAAGTGAAGAATGTCAAGTCACGATAAAACTTTTACACACATAAATTATTCGTAAGGACAGGAGCACTACATGCGGTCTTTCCCACAGGAACTAGCTAATGCAAGCCTGAAAATTCAACTAGCAATCTTATGTTCTATTATAATAAATTACCTTAAAATGGTTTCCATCTTAGTTTTCAGTGTGTTCTCCTCGAAACACATCTTATTCATTTCACTTTAATATAATAGTGAAAGAAATCAAGTTCGTATTCTTTTCTTCCCCGAATGACAACTGACAAATTTGCATTATATAAAATAAAAGCAATAAAACGCCTGCGTTGATTGGTTGATAGCTGAGCCTCATCAATTAAATCAATGAAAGAGTATTTACTAATCAATCATGAATACATGTTAGAGGAAATATTAAAACCTTTGCTTTGAATTTATCTTTATTACATTATTGTTATTTTATAAAAGATGTTTTTGCCCTGATCTGCTTTTGAGTACTCCCAAAGGTCTCCTCGGTTTTTAATATTTCCACAATAAACATCTGCAAATCTTGCAAAGTACACCGAGCGGAAACATTTGTTTCCTCCTTAGAAACGTACGTCAATTTGAAACCTCCACAGCAGCAAACGTTTCTATGGCACTTTAATAAGTTCCCACAAAATGAAATTTTTGCTAATTGAATCGTGTTTTTATTGAATAGTGAACACAAAAAGTCTGTCCATAAGCTAAGAGAGGATGAAAAAGTTAGTGTGGCTAAAACCTGGGCAATTTTTATCGAAGACAAACACTGAATATGCTGGTCCTAGCTGCTGCAACTTTTAAGACATAAATGACTTGAATATGGAGCCTAAGAGTTTGGACAACTATATATATGATAAAATGTTTGAAAGAGACACATAAAGCTAATTGGAACCAAAAAGTTAAAAATAAGCATAATCCGTAAAAGGGCGTCTTGTAATCTCAAGTAGTGTAACCTAGTGTAACTCATAATGTAACCACAAAGTTATAAAACAAGACAATTACGCTGCAATATTCGGTATTATTTAAAACCATCATCAAAAAGAATGACATATTTACAAGTTGCCAGTTGATTGTACGTATATATACATAATTCGTATATATATACAGGTGTTCAGTTACAATACGAGAAAATTTAGGGGCTGTATACATGATCCCGGGTAGCCGGGATTCAGCCAAGCGTTAAAGGATTTTGGCAAATGGAAAAGATTTAATTCTTATCATCAGATGAATGTTCTTCAGCCCTTTCAAAATATTCTGATTTAATAACTATACGCATAACATCAAAATCGAACAACAAATTCGGCCTTATTTGAGAATATACATGACGAAATCAATCTTATTTACTTTTGATTTATTTATTAAACTTGCTATAAATACAATACATAGATAACTAAATGACAGAAAACATACTACAGCTTTTGGAGGCCAACATTATGTCACAAACATTAAAAACAACACAATATTCCACTGGACAGTTGACGTGTCTTGTTACAAGATAGAAATATAGTTTTCCATGTTCTTGAACGGTCAATGTCATCATGTATTGTTTCTAAGGATAATTTATAACATACTCATAGCTTTTCCTTGAATTGACTAAGGCTGATCTTGTTGTCATACATTTAAATTGCTTAGTAATGCATTCTTGAGTCTAATGCACCTATTTAGAAACGACTTTTGGACTGAACTTGTTTTGTAACAATTAGTAACAAATGACAAATGGTTTGGATAGCACATAACCGTGTTTTACATTGGCTTAAAGATTGGTTTGTAGCGGTAAAATTTCTTTATATAATATAATTATATGTATTTAAATAGTTCATTTAGGGCCTGTTTAGGGCGAGTAACTCGCCATGCCGGGTAACTCGTTTTGTGTAAGCGAGTTACCCGGCTAGGCGGGATGAATTTTTCCATATAAAAGCATTTGCCGGGTAACTGGGCGAGGCGAGAAAATGGCTCTGTTCGTACGCATGCGTAATAATACCTCGCCTAGCCGGGTAACTTGGCTCCATATAAACAGGCCCTTAGTTTTAGTTGAAACGAAATCTTTACTCTATAATGATATGGAATGGTCAGACTGAAAACGAGAGGTAGCAACTTCTAACCGTCTTGATAATAAAAGAAAGACTGGTTGTGTGCTAGAGTGAAAAGACAACAGTTGCTTGCTGACCCTACTTTCTGTCTCATCTAAATCAAAAACTTGGACAAACATTGGTTTCGTAAAAAGCATCAATTGTTGGACGGTTTCCAATAACATAAAAACTGAAATTACTTTTTTCAAATTTACAAAATGTTGTACACGATAGACAGAGATGTTAACCAGAGTGAATGTAGAAAACATATTTTAAGAACAAGAATAGGCTTGGAGGAAACATAATGAGAACGAAAGCCAGAACAGTGGAGAAAATAATGTCACTATCTTGTCTAAACAAGTGCTAGCATTCAGAGGAGATGATGAATCCGTATCTTGTTTTAATCATATTCCGTTTTTTGACAATTGCTCGCATGCCAAACAACTTGAGTAAGAACGTAGTGATGGCTAATGCAGGAGGTGTTTTCATCTGCATGTGTATCACCTGATCTCTGGAATTATTTGATTGTCCTTATTGATGAAGTTATTCATGGTCAGATTGATAGGAAAATCAGGGAATGCCAGTTTCATTGTTCCTAATGTGATTAATTTTTGAATAAATCACCCCAAAATCAGCTTACCTATACTAACCGTCTGATTAAAAGCGTGTTTGGAGCATTTTTATATGTATATCGAAGCGTATACTTTTTTAAAATAATTTGTTAAATTATCGTAAGATTAAGTATGGACATGTCGACGGTTTTCATATAAATACAGAAGTTGAATGGGAAAAAATATACATGTTGGGCATTCAACACGCGTTTGTATCTGGAAAATGTGGCTGTCATATACGTTATGGGTGACGTTATCATAATAATGTTTTTATTGCTAAAGGATCCACTTATAAAAAAAAGTTATTGGGGAGCTCAACCAATGCTAAGGGCTACTCTGAACTATAAATAAACTTAAACTACTAATATACAACAGTGGCTTTGTTTGATCATGCGGATGGATCAGTTAAAATTTCACCCAAAGACGCGTCTGATCAGGTGAAGCGAATTGCTTCGAAGAAAGTTTTTTCATTTGTTTAGGGGCCGAAATAGATCAGCATAGCAACAACAACGAAAGAAGCATGGGATATTTTAAGAAATCAGTTCGCCAAAACTTCTATTTTACAGTTCATTCGACTACACCAGCAATATTAATCGCACCAGTTTAAAAGTGAAAACATACTCGACCATATCAGCGAATTGAAATTTCTTCACGATCAACTAAAAGAAATGGGATATAAAAACAACGATCGCCAATTGGCAATGACTTTACTTGCAAGTTTGCCAGGAGAATACAAGCCGCTGATCACAGCTTTCGATGCGATTGGAAAGGAATCTTAAATTTATCAAAAAGTTAAAGGAGTGTTGCTTAATTATGTAAAATAAAATGTTAGGTACAAAGAAAGATGAAGAGGCGTATGCTGCTCACTGATAATTCAGGAGAAAAGAAAAGAAAGAAGATTACAGTAGGAAAGAAAATGAAAACCAGCATTCTTTTCAAGAAGTTTGTGGCTCATGTAAAAAAAGAGAACATTTGGCATGAGATTTTTGCCAAAAGAAAGAACGATTTAAGTAGTAAATTCCACAATAAACGAGAGAGGTCAACATATTGTGCCAAAGAAAATGTGATTGATGAGGAAAGTATTGATAAGGTAGCGTTACTCACAAAAAGAAATGAAAATAGATATGATTAGGCAATCAATTATGTTGCGATTCAACATGTGTAAACGTGACAATTTATCAGACTACGAAGAGTTGTGAAAGCCAAAGAAAGTAAATCTTCAGGATGATCGTGTCATATTGGCTTAAGGAAAAGAAACTCATCGTTTGACCGTTTATTTATATGGCTCACATCAACGCCCTAAAAAACGTACTCTATCTGCCCGAGCTAAAGAGAAATTTGCTGTCTGTTCAAGCTATGTCTAAATTTGGTGAAACTGTAGTGTTTAAAAAAAAACGAATACAAGATCTCCAAGAATTTTAGATTATTGGGAGTTTGCGAGGTGTATGGAAAACTATATAAAGTCATTCAAAAAGAGAAAGCGCATGCTGCAAAAGAACATCTGACTTTAGAATTATGGCATTAGAGGTTTGCACACTTAAGAAGAGAAAACATTTATAAATTGGTAAATACAGGTAAAGTGGAAGGTATGGTCATTCTTTTCCAACAATACAGAGTTGCTAGGAATGAGTATTAAATGAAACCGTCATTTACGTACAATGTCCATAACTCAAAGGAAATACTTGGAAGGAGTGCGAAAGAAATTTGGTATGGAAAATTGCAAGCTAGTTTCCCTCCCATTGGAACTAGGTAAGAAAAACGAAAAACGATCAAAAGGCGTTGAACCATTCGATAAGAAAACATATTGAAAGAGCTATTGTTTTTTTTAACTTATCATGCAAGAATTATCAGCAAAGATTTATCAACTTTTGCTTACCTAAGTTTATGTCAAATCCTGGAGTTAAGCATCCAAATGGAGTAAAACGAGTACTACGTTATCTTCAAGGAACGCTAGAGTATGCTCTTCTATGTTCCACTAACGATTCAAGTATAGTTTGTTAAAGTAGTAAACGACAAGCAAGTGTAGCTAGATCAACAACTCAAGCAGAGTATATAGTAGAGTATAAGCACAGCCAGTCAAGAAGTAGTTAGGCAACGAAGACTACTTGGCAATGTTCTAAAAAAACAAAAAAAAAACAAGATTGTTTTACTACTTTACATGAAGACAACAAATGAATAATAGATAGTCAATAAGTGGTTAGGCAACGAAGACTACTGGCAATGTTCTGAAAAAACAAGATTGTTTTACTACTTTACGTGAAGTCAACGAATGAACAATACAATAAAGCTCACCAGAAATCTTATAAACAAATAATATGTTAAATCATTATGTGTGAGAACAAGTCAAAAATAACTGTCAAGTATTGATGAACAAAGAATATGCTAGGCGATACAAAGACCAAAAGACTCTCGAAAGTTTAATTTTAAAACTTTCATAAACTATTGGGAGTAGTTAAATTTTTTTTTTGTTTTATTTTGTTAGTTTTATTCATATCTTTAGACACGTGACATGAATGACGTGCATATGCATGCTTTCTTCCGTTGTGCTTTTGTATCTGGGCAAGCGCAGATATATTACTATCATGTCTTTTAAGTTTGTAAGCTTTCTCCAAGAAAATATTTTGGAAATCATACAAATCACATCTTAGCTACGAATTACTCACAAACGATAGGCTACGTTTTATTTTTGATTATTCCAATATAGAAACTGACTAAATATAGCGAGGATTTTATAGGTGAGTGTATGTAAAAACCATTGGTAACAGCTCGAAATATTGTCTGACAAACAGCCATCCACATAAATTCGCTGTTTCGACAGTACTGCCGTTGACAGTTTAGAAAATTCAGTAATATTGCTTGTGCTTTCGTAAGACATATTTCTCAAATGTTCTATATTTTGATGATTTGTCAGTTTGTTCGATAGCATTATCAAACGTAAAGAAAAATTATTGACAAATTCTAAGGCACCTCGGACAGTTTAATATATTTATAGCATATTCTGATAAGACAAATCGTATATCTTAACAGGAAAAATACATAGTTATTGCACTTAAATGGCTTGTAAGTTGTTAAAATTGTTTAAGCCAAACATGTAAGGGCGGATCTCCACTAGACGATTTTTATGACGATCGTCTTAAAAATTCGCTGCGCCACATGCGCAGTAGGAAATAAAATCGTCAACAAAATCGTCAACAAAATCGTCAAAGACGATTGCAAATTGCAATGTGAAATTGAGAAAATGGCGGATGTGAATCAAACTTTAATGCATTATTTACTTCTTCGAAGGCATTTGATTTTACTGCATGCATGGAGAGTAAGATCCATGAAAACAAAGCGAAAACGACCAAGATTTTGGATGCGTAAACTGTACGAGGAAAGAAATGAGAAAGGTGAGTACAATTTGCTGGTTAAAGACTTGCGATTATACGATCATGAAATATTTTTCAGATATTTCAGGATGTTACTTGACACTTTTGAGACCTTGTTGGGGTATATTGCCCCGATGATAAGAAAGAAATAGACAAAAATGCGAGAACCAATAAGTTTAGATCAAAGACTTTTAGTCACTCTGCGATATTTGGCAACTGGGGATGCTCATACAACTATCGCTGCCAATTATAGAATGAGCTCAACGACTGTTGGTCGAATTATCTACGAAACAAGCAACGCACTTTGGGACAAACTAAAGGAAATGGGTTTCATGAAAACACCTTGCACTGAAAGTGACTGGAAAAAAGTATCGAAAGATTTTGAAGATCGATGGAACTTTCCTAATATGCTGGGAGCAATTGATGGAAAGCATGTGCAGATGTTTGCTCCTGCTGGTTAGGCATCGAGTTTTTTTAATTATCAAAAGACTCATAGCATTGTTTTGTTGGGAGTTAGTGATGCAAATTATAAATTCACACTGGTTGATATTGGTGATAGTGGGCGGCAAAGTGATGGCAGCGTGTATGCCAACAGCAATCTTGGCTATGCTATTGAAAACAAGCTTCTCATCATGCCCACAGATGGCAAGATTACCCATTCAACGAAAGTACTACCCCACTTATTTGTAGGGGATGATGCATTTGGCTTAAAACGCCACATGATGAAGCCCTATCCTTTTTCAAACCTGTCTGAGAGGAAACTAATTTTCAATTACAGGCTAAGCAGAGCCAGACGTGTCATTGAAAATGCTTTTGGTATTTGTGCTAGTCGGTTTCGTGTGTTTCATAGGCCTATAGTTGCCAAAGTTGATAATGTGATTGCCATAAGTAAAGCTGTTGTGGCATTGCATAACTTCCTTAGGAGCATAAATGAAGATGACGATTCAAATCTATACTGTCCACCATCATTTGTTGATCAAGATGGGCAAATGGGTAATGAGTTTAAACCTGGTGAGTGGCGACAAGATGTAAATTGTATGAATGGATTGGGTGACATTACAGATGTTGGTGTATCAAATAACTATGGTGCAGAAGCTAAGTGGGTTCGTGAACAATTTGCTGATTATTTTAATAATGAAGGAGCAGTTGACTGGCAGTGGCATATAGTAAGGTGTTCAAAATAAAAACAAATTTAAAGCAATTTATATTCAATATGAGCATTAGTGATGTGATGGATTTTCATACGAAAGGGGTTTTTCACTTATGTAGTTAGCAATACATGTTTAAGCTATAATTCTAAAAATAAATTATTTCACTTGCTATATATCTGTATTCATATACTATATATATTATTGCTATATATATAATTGAAGACTTAGCCTTTGCACTTCATACGTTGCTTCGTTGTAGGGTAAGACTAAATTTATAAAAAGTGTATAAATGACTTAACAGTTGGCGAACAATTTACATTTTAAAGTCACATTTATACATCGCGTAAACACGCATGATAATTCTTTGTTTTATGTCTTACAAACCTTCAACTGGTCGACGGTTGAAACTTTCAGGTTTTGATATTTAACGTTCTGGAAGTTGTATGAATAGATTGTTATGAAAAACAAAGAATGAAAGCAAAGGCGCATTAAATTGGACACAATCGACATTGATAATGTTATGTCGTGACAATATACAAAGATGAACAAAACTATTTTGCTGCATTGAAAATTAGGAACTTAAATTTAATAAGCGATGCTGTATATTTTAATGCAAAGATACACCGATTTCATCATTAAAATAATGGTATTTCTGCTTCTAAAACGACCTAAATATTTAACTATTCAATGATGACATGATTACAATTGCAATTTCAAGTAAATTTGCTTCCTCAAGCATGAATATAATAACACATATTTTACAAATATAACGACTTAACCGAACGACAAATAACTGCTATAATAAGCAATTTAACTTCCTTATATACAGACATATCAACACACATACCTTGTTGTAGACGGCAGTGATTTGTTTTTTGATAAGCAGATTGTTGTTGGAAATGTTGTTCGGATAAATTTTTAGGTTTTCATCTTTAACGTTCTGGAAAGCTAAGACTTCAGCAATATCATATAAACTTTTGAGTGGTGAAAGGTGAGAGCTTCAACAGTCGATACAAGGCCAATATCCTATCCACTCTTGCGTGTCCAAACACTTGTGCGGTGGCCGAGGAGTGCCAATACAAATTAATTAATGTATTTATTGTAGAAACTAAAGATCAATGAACAAGAATTGTATGCGTTTGTCAATTCTTTAAAAGTTTCACAAAAAATTAACTGCTCATCGCTTTTGAATTATGTAATAGTACATATATGTATCACGTGATTCGAGACAAAGCTCATAATTAAAGGTAAAATTGGTAACAGTGACTGTATTAAAGTGGAACCCATTTGAGCTCAATCAATTAAATCAATCAAATAAAAAGACTTTTCAAATCAATCATTAATACATGTTACCTTAAAAACAACAAATATCTGTTTTGCATTTGTTATTTTATAAAAGAGAAAAAGATTTTTGACCTTCAGTCTCGAATTTCTAATTATCTACTTTCAAGTTCCAGCAAATATATCCTCGGTTTGCATAAGCATATGCAAAGATGAAAGTTGTTTTTGCCATTGTTCTTCCTTTTGTCTCTATACTACAGCTGTCATAATCTGTGTCATAATGTTGTTATTATGTAAATAAGCTCATCATGTGAGAGATGTGAAATGAACAACTTTTAAAGATAATGATTTTGTTGTTAGTTTGTCTAGGGACTATTACTGCACCTTAATTTACAGCCTATGCTTTAAAAAAGGTACTTGTAAAAAGTTGGTTCAGCCCTTACAAAATAAACTAAAGTTTTTCAAGTCAAAAACTATAGTTTTGAAAACTGTACTAATTTGGAACAAAAACTATAGTTGCGAAAACTATAGTTGTATGAATAAACTATAGTTTTCGGAACTATAGTTTTGGGGATACTATAGTTATAGAAACTAAAGTTTTGGGAGAACTATAGTTTTACAACTGATAGTTTTGTTCCCAAACACTACAGTTTTCAAAACTATAGTTTTCCGTGAACTACAGTTTTCCAATGAATCTATGTTATGATGTAGTTCATTAACTAAGGGTTACATAAACACAATTTAGCAAATTCCCTGTACAGGTTCTAGTAGTACACATTATTGTATACAGAATTCAATAAAACCATGAATCCACGATATTTTAATTATACATTGTATTTTAACCAGATAAAAATATTCACCAATTTTCTTCCTTTATAGAAAAATATCATTAAGTTACATAGATAGAATTAATAGAAAAATATAGTATATACCGCTAATGTTACTCTTTACAGGATTCGTGTTGTTTTTTCCATGCTTGTTCCTCGTTATTAAGTTTGAACTTTACAGCTTTTACAACATCTTCTTCTATAACCTGGCGTGGCATATTTGAATACTTCACACTCGTTGCATGCTCTAGAAAAAAGATAGAGGAATAATGTCCACCTCAACTCTAAAGGATATTTTCTGATAGATCATAAGGTGGGAAGTCAGCAAAAACAAAAGGTAATAAACTTGACTAGGTCTTCAATACAAACACAAAGTATCAAAACAACATAGTAGTTCACAACAGTAAGTTTAAAATATTAGAAGATACATTAAATTGTTGAGTCATGCTCATAAACCACAGAAACATGTTAAGAAAATAGTATGTGCGTAGTTTGGTTTACCAATGTATCCGTTCCCACACGGCTAACAGCCAAGGAACAGTTATTGACTTTAATTAAATTTCCTTATGTACCATATATAGCTTAAATAGAGGAACTATACCGACCAATAATAATATTTGTTGTTTGTAATAAAGACTATAAATACTGCTCTGTAAGATAATAAAAATCAGTTCGATCATTAAGTTCACTCGTGGTTGTTACTGAAGGTATAGAGTATATTACGAAAAGAGATATGGCGAGTAACTCGAACTCAACATAAATTTTCATTATTACCACTTATTGTCCCATACAAGACATGGCACAGGGGATGTTTGAACAATATACTATGTCTGCATAGCAGAACATGTAAAAAATAGATGTTTACGGCTGGTCAAACGTGCTTGAAAATGCAGAGTCTAAATATTTATACTGAAAAAAGTCCTTGAAATGTTTAAAGTTTAATTTCAACAGTACTCAGACTCAAACAACCATATATGCACTTACGAATTAAAGAAGTAGTGTATGTGGGATCAAGCTGAGGTTTGACCTGACCATTTTTCCTTTTTTGGTCCTTGTAGCTGTGGGTAGCCATGTGTTCACGGGATAAGGTTGTCCCCAGTAAGTTAGCAACATATGATCCAACTTTCTTTGCCTCGATTCTTTTAAAGACGTGCTTTTTGACAACCAAAATTGGTCCCAAAGTGACCTGAAATAAATTGAAGAATAACAGCATGTGAAATTTATATTACTGGAGTTGCAAATGTTCCATCTCCAATTAAATGGAACTATTTTATTTACTTAAAGTGTTCATGAAAAAGCAACCCTCAGTTACCATTCTAAAGACAAACGTAAATAATTTTAAAAAGGATTGCTGCATATTACAACTTGAATTATGTCCATTTGATGAGTCAGTATTACATAATTAATTGATTGTAATAGATCTGTTTTAACTGCATGTTAGTTTATCAACCAAATCTAATGCTTAGTACCATTTAAAGCTAGGTATAGACAAAACACACCATTTCGAGGAGAGAAGTATCTTCAGTTGTTGCATTTTAGCAATCCAGAGGGCTTTCTTCCATAGTTTGGTTGGTTTCATTTGATAGTCCATTGATAGAGCTCTCAAACACAGCAGTTGGTATGGGGGAAGGGTTTTCTTCTGGAAGATTTGAAAGGTTTGAGTAAGAGCTACTTCTCCCAGATGAAACTGGGGTGAATCTATTCTCCATCACAGGCAAACCTTCAATGGGTGACAAAGATGTGGTGGATGGGGTGGACGAGGATTTACTGAGAGAAGTTCTAGTCAGAAATGATCTTTGTAAAAGTGACCTGGCGGAATCTTCCAAGGTAGACACATATCTTCTTAATTTTTTAATGAAGTTCTAAATAAAGTAAATGGTTTGAACCCGGGATTATCGTTACATGTTTGTAAATGATAATCGTCCAGATTGGTGTAGTCCTGAGAAGGACTGTTTTTGTTGTTGTTGACTGACTACGTTTCGACAACCTTAGCGGTAGTCGTCTTCAGAGTCAAATGAGTAGAAAACGTCAGGTTAGCCGTATTTGTTATCTGGTTCTTACGTCATTGGATTGTGTGTACAGGAAATGTGTATTGTCATTGTGAATTAGTGTGAAGTGAAATATTTTTATTTTTAGTTGTGATGTGTGATTTAGGTGTGATGTTTTTAGTTGTAATGTGTGGGTGTCAATTGTGTATTGTCATTGTGAATTAGTGTGAGGTGTAATGTTTTTAGTTAATCGTTTGTTTGTATTGTGAATAAGTCGTTTTTAAGGTGCCGGTAATTGCTATGATCTGTTCAGGGGGGTTTGTTCCAAGTTGCTATACCAACTTTCTAATGTAAGCCGTTGTCCATAGTCAGTACTGTAAGTAATGCATTTTGCCGAGTCCCAGTCAATGTTGTGCTTTGTGATTCGGTGATGTTCGGCAATGTGATTAGTTTTGTCTTGTTTCTTAGTAGCTCGTTTGTGTTCAGTAAGTCTTATGTTTAAGTTCCTGCCAGTTTCCCCGATATAGGAGGCGTGGCAGTCGGAGCAGTTTATTTTGTAAACTGCACCTTGTCGTTCGTTGGGTTGTTCTTTGTCCTTTATGTTCGTTAGTACTTGTCGTAACGTTGTGATTGGTTTATGTGCGACACGTATGTTGTAAGGTCGTAAGATACGCGAGATAGTCTCAGACGCACCTTTGATGCCAGGTATCATTGCTGTTGTCACTGAGTTGTTTGTTTCGTTGGGTTTGTAAGTGTTGCGTTTGATAAAGTCAGAGTTATAGTTGTTTTTGTCAAAAACACATTTGAGATAGTTGTTTTCGTTGTGTAGAGCGTCCGGTGAATCACATATGATTTGTGCACGTCTTGTTAATGTTCTGATTGTGGTGGCTTTGTGTGATGTAGGGTTGTAAGATGATTGATCTAGTAGTCGGTCAGTATGTGTTGGCTTGCGATAAACTGTTGTTCGTAGTTTTTGATTGTCATGTTTTACCAAACAGTCGAGAAAAGGAAGAGTTCCGTTTTCTTCGACATCTTTTGTAAATTGTATGTGGCTGTTCTGTTTGTTGATGTGAGTGTGAGTCATCAATCTCGTCTGCATGTAGTGCTGTGATTGTGTCATCTACGTAGCGAAACCAAAAAGGTAGTGCATGTTTGTAAGTCGTGAGCGCCCGTTCCTCTATAGATTGCATTACAATTTCAGCAACTACAACAGAAACGGGTGAGCCCATTGCTGTTCCATGTAATTGTTTGTAGTGTGTACCTTTGTACTGGAAGTAAGTCAAGGTGAGGGAGAGCTCAAGTACCTCCATAATGTCTTCTGTCGGTAATGGCAGTACGTCCGTGGTGTTTGTAATGAGGATTTTTTTACAAGTAAGTGCCAGATTAAGTGGAATACTGGTGAACAGTGATTTCACATCAAAAGACACTAGTATATAGTTGTCCGGTATTTGTATAGTGCTCAGTTTTTTAATGAAAGTTTCAGTGGATTGCAGCTTGTGTTTTGATTTGTTTGTAAGTGGTTGCAGTATGTCAGTCAAGTACTTTGAGAGTTCGTAAGTAGGCGAACCACAGAATGATACAATTGGTCGCATGGGTATTTGTGGTTTGTGAAGTTTTGGTAGTCCGTATAGTCTGGGTGGTCGTGGTACTGAACATCTGAGTCGATAGTAAATACGTTCAGATATAATGTTAGATTTTCTCATAGAGAAGACCTTGCTGTTAAGTTTGCGTATTAGTGATGGTGTTGGGTCTCGTTTGAGTTGTTCGTATGTTTGTCTGTCGTTAACAAGGGTGTCCATTTTGTTAAAGTAATCATTCCTGTCCATGACCACAGTCACGCGTCCTTTGTCTGCTGGTAAAATGACGATGTTGTTGTCGTGTTTTAGTCGTTTGAGTGCTTGTTGTTCGTTCTTTGTCAAGTTGTTGTCACGTATAGAGGACGATTGTAAAGTGGAGGCTATCCTGCTTCTGATCTCGTCTTTGGTTGTCTCTGACAAGTCTCTTTGATACGCTATTTCACATTTCCTGTACACACAATACAATGACGTAAGAACCAGATAACAAATTCGGCTAACCTGACGTTTATTCCTCATTTGACTCTGAAGATGACTACCGCTAAGGTTGTCGAAACGTCGTCAGTCAACAACAACAAAAACAGTCCTTCTCAGGACTATACCAACCTGGACGATCTACATTTACAAACATGAAGTTCTTAAATCTATAAATTTAAAATGATATATCATAAGCTTCTAAAGGTTGATGACACTACGTAATATTGAGTTGTTATTTTTCACCCAAACACTAAATTTCAAATCAAAAATATACTGAATAGAACAAGCAATTTACAAATTTCTCCATTTTGGAAGACAAAAGTGAAAAGCAGAGAAAGCATTGATTTGAAAATACAAATGAAGTAAATTTTCCTCGAGCTTACCATTGCCATTGTCAATTTGCTCATTAAGTCTTTTCATCTGATTTTCCAGCATTTTTACCCTCTCTTTGAGTTCCAAGGCTTTTTTTATACTTGCATTTATCATTGCAAAGTGCACTACCTTCATCTGACTGACTCTCCTAAATAATCAACAAGAACTTAGGCAATATTTAACAATATTTCCTTTTAGTACCAACTATTAAGGTGTACTTTACTAACAACAAGTACAATATATTATAATGTAAATCTCAATTTTTTAATTTCATAAGCCCCACTGATTGAAAATTCTTTTGTATGACTGCCTTATACAAGCCTTACACTGTACAATGTTTGCATTTTAAAAGATTTTTCACTTAGAAACAAGAAATGAATTTCAAATTAACAGCATTTTATGATTAACGGGAACATATCATAAAGTATTAATAACTTTTTTAGCATTTAACCAAACAACATCCAAATTTTATTCTGAAAAATGACCTTAAATCCCTAGCATTCCACATTAATAATAAAATTGCATAATTTAGAGATAAGAATAATTAGTGTTATCATTGTGTATAGTACATACCTTGCTTAATCACTCTTTTATAAGTGAAGCAAGACTGGCTGAGCAGCAAGCCTCTGTTTTCTTTGCCCTGGATGCCTTTAGCTTTTTAGGAATACTGTGCTCCTGCTGGTAACAAGAACAACAATACAAAATTTTATACATGTTGTTTCAAAAGTTTTTTATTAGCTACTATATCTCATTTAAATTCTTAGGCTCATAGCCTTGTTCAGCAATGTAGACCTTCAAACATAAAATTAGTAGCTAATAACATTTGAATCATGAATACCTTATGGAGTACTTAACAAATTTCCATGAATGCATCATCACATTAGTGACATGAGTGCTAACTATAGATGATGGCAGCAATAATTGAGAAACATGCAGTAAACACCATTTAAACAAAATGTGGTCAATGTAATATTTCGGGAAACTCACCACATCATCTGATTCACTATCACTTTCAATTGTAAACTTTGCTTTGTGAATTCTTTTGCGACACCCTTTGCCAGTATTTATAGAGAAAGTTTCTTCTTTTCTCATTGTCTTGAGTAAATAATCTTAACTATCTGTTTATACAAAATAATGGATGACTATTTAACAACTATTAAAAAATAATAATTTTCAATTGGAAGCAGTAGCGTGCCTGAAATTATAAGGAAACAACCTTATGCAAAGTTTGGCCTAATGTATTGCTACATGTATTTAAGAGCAAACAAGTTAAAATCTGGGAAATAGACACATCCTTATTGTCAGTATTGTAATTGAACTATTGCTATGTAGAAGAAAGAACAACATTTGAGCAAAAGCTTTTTATCAGAAAGTATTTCCCTCCTAAAAAAGCAGTAAATTGAATTGATAACAGCAATCTTCATATCAACTATGACTATTTCTACTAACAAGACAGAGAAATAAACAAATAGATTTTCACACAGAAATTTACAGATATATAGCAAAGCTAAGATGTTTCATGAAAGAAATGATGACAAAGAGAAAGAGCTTGATGCACTAGCAATTAGCTTTTTGGCTGAATTATACAAGCTTTTACAAATTTTACAAAAAATTCTACAACAAACTAAAAATACTAACCTGAAACCTCTATTATCTCTGCAGGAAATTCCCTCGACTTGCCGTTTCCCTTTGTTTTTCCATCGCTCCACATGACTAATGTTTTGAATCCTTTAAGTTCATCTTTGTCTTTCGACATATTTTCATCCTAAAAAATGATGTTAGAATATGGAATGATATCCATGTATTTTCGTTGTAAAAATTCACCAATGCAAACGCCATATTTTCGAATATTATCGCTAAAAAAGCTTTTTCAACTCTTAACGTATCTTTGCAACAAGCAACATGCTAATCAGATTGAAGATCATGGAATCGGGTAAAGATTAAAGATTTCAAAATAACAGTCCCAGTCTCCCAACGCTCTCGTCTAAATCTGAACAGAATGAATGAATGAATGAAAATCTGTATTTTGACACGCTGGCCTTGTCAACTGGGGTGGATTTCCACAAGGGGCGTGCTTTTTTTCAAAAACAATTACAAAATTTACTAAGAAATAAATTATCTACAGAAGAGAAGTTTAAATATTTACAGAGTTTAGCTTATTCCATCAGTTACATGTTAAACTTAATCATAAAATGCAAGCAGCAATTTTCTTTTGAAAAAGTGACACGCTTTTGCTATTTCTGATTTCTGCTGGAATTGAATTCCAAACAGAAGCCCCATCATACGCAAAGCTTTTCTTCAAGGAGTTAGTACTAGGCATAGGAAAATTTAGACAACTTGTAATATTACGTAGATTGTAATCAGTGATGTCTTTTTTATAGTTAAACAATCTAGTAAGTGAATTTGGTCCAGCCTTTTTTAATAATTTAAACATCAGCTTTGCTTTAGCTTTTTTTCTAAGTATATCAAGAGGTTCCCACTTCAATTCTTGTAATGCGTTACAATAATCGACATCAATGCCCATGCTTATGATAATTTTTGCAGCTCTATTTTGAAGTTTTGTAGTCTTTGGACTGAGTTTCCCCAATACACCCCAAACTTCACAGCAATATGTGAAGTAAGGATGTACCAGGGCATTATAAATAGAGATAAGTGTTTGTTTGTCTGTGTATTGCTTTAATTTTCTAGGGCGGAGATACCGGCTGCTACTTTTTTGCAAATTTTATCAGTGTTACTCCTCCAAGATAAGTGTTGGTCAATTATTAAACCCAAACTTTCGTACTCATAAATTCTATTTATAACGTAATTGCCAATTGCAATTTGCAAATTAGAAGTAAAAACATTCTTGATCATTTGTTTCGAGCCTATGATCAAATATTCTGTCTTGGTTGAATTCAAACTAAGTTTGTTTGCTATCAACCATTTTTCAAGATTATTCAAGTCAGAGTTTACTGTCTTTTCTAGTTCAACTATATCATTATTTGAAGCAGTTATGCTAGTATCATCAGCAAACATTTTTGGTTTACATTGCTCTAAGCATAAGGGTTAGTCATTTATAATAGTTTGAAACAATATTGAAACAAAGCAAAGAAAAGATTTTTGTTTTTATAAGTTGAGGTTAGCCTGGTGTTTTCCGCGTTTCAAAAACCCATGTTAAGCGTTCATGAAAATACCCTGAAGTAAACATTAAAAATGGCTTATGAAAGTACGGTCGAATTATCCGAGAAATACAAAGCAGTTATGGTTCTCAGTGGAGTGGGGGGGTTAGTCTAGGTTATAAGAATGGTTTGTGGGAATTCTGTTACAGTGGTACTCAAATTCATGAAGAACTAGAAAAACTCGGAGGACTTGATAAAATTGACATTAAAGGATAGAGGGTTAGTGACGACACTGTACTACACATTGCTACAGCAGAAGCGATAGTTTCTGAATGGGCAACAACGGAAGAGTTATTGTGCATTATGGCTACAAAGTACAAGAAGACATGTGCTGAGGATATTTGGGAAAGAGCTCCTGGGCAGACCGCAACAAAGGCATGTTTCATGTTACAACCTCTTGAGGAAAAAGGTTACATTACACCATTTAATGAACGAGGTGGCGGATGTGGTGCAGCTATGAGATCCATGTGTATAGGTTTGATGTTTCCTTGTGAAGATCAAATAGAAATGTTAATTGAAATTGCTGTTGAAAGTGGAAGGATGACTCATAATCACTCCACAGGTACTCACCTTTCATAATAAAACAACGATTTCAGATCATGTATCAATTATCAAGTCACTAATGTCTAGAGTTCTGTCTATCAACACGTCTTGCTTTGTATAAAGTTTGCTAGGTTTTCCTGTTATCTGCATTTCTTTTCATTTTGACAAACCTTTATAGTAATTTAGCTTTTCAATCCTTTTTCTTTTTTAGATGTTTTACCTTCAACTCTTCCTTCGATTACTTACTTGAACAAGCCATTGCCATGAATGTTTCATATCCTTTTATCTAATATCAATTTATAAATGAAATAAAAGATGGTTGAACTTAGGTTTGCATAAGTTTATCCAATCCATCATTTTCCAGAATCACATCTTAAATGCCTCCATCCTTCTAACATTCTCACTTTTAATCACCATATCTTTGATCCATCCTTTTCATCGTTTTCCACATTTCCAAATTTCTGTCTTCTAAAAGCAATTGCCATTGCTGTTTTGTTTTTATATTTTCACTACTACATCCATTGAATCCATGATCCATTTCAAAATGTCGCTATTATGTAAATATGGTCATCATAATGTAAGTGACCTAAAATTAGCAATCTTTAAAGATTATTTTATTTTTAGGTTATCTTGGGGCTGTTACTGCAGCTTTATTTACAGCCTATGCTATACAGAAGATAACTCCAAAAAAATGGGGAGTAGGACTTTTAGATGTTTTACCCAAAGTTTGGGAATACATTGAGAAGGTTGGTCGTGATGTAGAAGAAAACAAGAAATCTTGGGGCTACTTTAAAAGTAGTTGGGAGTCATATCTTGAACTACGGGGATTAACAAATGGAACCAGTGAACCAAAATTTCCAGTGACATATAACATACGTGAACGTGAGGCTTTTTATAAATATGTGAGTTATGCAGGTTGGGGTGGGTCCAGTGGTGATGATGCACCAATGATTGCTTATGATGCTTTGATGATGGCTAAAGATTCCTGGTTTCAATTGTGTTCTTGTTCTATGTTTCATGGTTGAGATAGTGACAGTACAGAAATATTGGCTGCAGCATGGTTGGGTAGTATGTATGGTATGAAAGGGGTACCTCTTGGAAATTATAGGAACCTGGAATTTGGTCATAGGCTTATGGAGCTGGGTAAAAAATTACTGAATGCATCAAAAAAATAGGAAAATGACTGGATAGTTTTTATCTAACAAAATTTATGTCATAAAATTCTGTCATCTCAATAAACTTTAGTATGTTTGTAAATTAAAAAGTACTCCTTCGTTATAACATAAAAATAAATCACTTTAGAAATAAAGTCTAAAGGAGAATGTCAGATTCAGGGCATGGGCAGTTTTAAGTTCTACTTGGGATGATTCCTGGGTTGTAGAGTAAGTTTATTGACTAGATATCAATGAAACTATATATAGACAAGAACCACAACACCTTTAGGTTCATCTTACCTCACAAAATGCAAACTCCGAACGTTTTGTCAGTACCAAAAATACCTTCTCAGGGAGAAGGGAGTTGACTTGGCAGATGGAAGCTTTGCTCCTACGGTCTATGTGTAAAATATAGGCTTAACATAATTTGGAATGTACAATTTTCTTTAAAACACGTAGCTTTTCAACTTTTTCAAGCACATTAACAAGATTGTTTAAAGACGCAGCGACATTAAATTGATTTGGAGCTAACCGTTATTTTTGAATTTCCAGAGCTTTTTCTTAAAATTCTATAGCTTTGTCGCAGTTTCCAGTACTAGAATACACAGCACCAAGATTGTTTAAAGACATAGCGACATCAATATGATTTGAACCTAACGATTGTTTTTGAATTTTTAGAGCTTTTTCGTAAAACTCTATAGCTTTGTTGTAGTTTCCAGTTTTATAAAATTTCAGACCAAGACAGTTTAAAGACGCAGCGACATCAAAATGATTTGGACCTAACGATTGTTTTTGAGTTTCCAGAGCTTTTTCGTAAAACTGTATAGCTTTGTCGTAATTTCCAGTTATATAAAACACATTACCAAGATTGTTTATAGTCGCAGCGACATCAACATGATTTGGACCTAACGATTGTTTTCTTATTTCCAGAGCATTTTGGTGAACCTCAATAGCTTTGTCGTAGTTTCCAGTTTCATAATACACATCACCAAGATTGTGTAAAGACATAGCGACATCAACATGATTTGTACCTAACGATTTTTTTTCAATTTCCAGAGCTTTTTTTAAAAACTTTATAGCTTTGTCGTAGTTTTTAGTTTCATGTAACACCGCACCAAGATTTTTTAAAGACACAGCGACATCAACATGATTTGTACCTAACGATTGTTTTTGAACTTCCAGGGCTTTTTCGTAAAACTGTATAGCTTTGTCGAAATTTCCAGTTATATAAAACACTTTACCAAAATTTTAAAAGACGCAGCGACATCAACATGATTTGGACCTAATGATTGTTTTCGAATTTCCAGAGCGTTTTCGTGAACCTCTATAGCTTTGTCATAGTTTGCAGTTTCATAATACACATTACCAAGATTGTGTAAAGACGTAGCGACATCAACAAGATTTGGATCTAACGATTATTTTTTAATTTCCAGAGCTTATTCGTAAAACTCATAGCCATGTCGTAGTTTCCAGTTTCATGTAACACTGTACGAAGATTGTTTATGACGCAGCGACATCAACATGATTTGGACCTACGATTGTTTTCGAATTTTAGCTTTGTCGTAGTTTCCAGTATAATAATACACATTACCAAGATTGTTTAAAGACATAGCGACATCAACATGATTTGGACCTAACGATTGTTTTTGAATTTTCAGAGCTTTTTCGTAAAACTCTATAGCTTTGTTGTAGTTTCCAGTTTTATAAAATATTAGACCAAGACAGTTTAAAGACACAGCGACATCAACATGATTTGGACCTAACGATAGTTTTCGAATTTCCAGAGCAATTTCGTGAACCTCTATAGCTTTGTCGTTGTTTCCAGTTTTATAACACACATTACCAAGATTGTTTAAAGACATAGCGACATCAACATGATTTGGACCTAACGATTGTTTTTGAATTTTCAGAGCTTTTTCGTAAAACTCTATAGCTTTGTTGTAGTTTCTAGTTTTATAAAATATTAGACCAAGACAGTTTAAAGAAGCAGCGACATCAACATGATTTGGACCTAACGATTGTTTTCGAATTTCCAGAGCATTTTCGTGAACCTCTAAAGCTTTGTCGTAGTTTCCAGTTTTATAATACACATTACCAAGATTGTTTAAAGACATAGCGACATCAACATGATTTGGACCCAACGATTGTTTTTGGATTTTCAGAGCTTTTTCGTAAAACTCTATAGCTTTGTTGTAGTTTCCACTTTTATAAAATATTCGACCAAGATAGTTTAAAGACGCAGCGACGTCAACATGATTTGGACCTAACGATCGTTTTCGAATTTCCATAGCTTTTTCGTGAAACTCTCTAGCTTTGTCGTAGTTTCCAGTTTTATAATACACATTACCAAGATTGTTTAAAGACGCAGCGACATCAACATGATTTGGACCTAACGATTGTTTTCGAATTTCCAGAGCTTTTTCGTGAAACTCTATAGCTTTGTTGTAATTTCCAGTTTTATGAAATATTCGACCAAGACAGTTTAAAGACGCAGCGACATCAACATGATTTGGACCTAACGATCGTTTTCGAATTTCCATAGCTTTTTCGTCAAACTCTCTAGCTTTGTCGTAGTTTCCAGTTTTATAATACACATTACCAAGATTGTTTAAAGACGCAACGACATCAACATGATTTGGACCTAACGATTGTTTTCGAATTTCCAGAGCTTTTTCGTGAAACTCTATAGCTTTGTTGTAGTTTCCAGTTTTATAAAATATTAGACCAAGACAGTTTAAAGACGCAGCGACATCAACATGATTTGGACCTAACAATCGTTTTCGAATTTCCAGAGCATTTTCGTGAACCTCTATAGCTTTGTCGTAGTTTCCAGTTTTATAATACACATTACCAAGATTGTTTAAAGACATAGCGACATCAACATGATTTGGACCTAGCGATTGTTTTTGAATTTTCAGATCTTTTTCGTAAAACTCTATAGCTTTGTTGTAGTTTCCAGTTTTATAAAATATTAGACCAAGACAGTTTAAAGACGCAGCGACATTAACATGATTTGGATCTAACGATTGTTTTCGAATTTCCAGAGCTTTTTCGTAAAACTCTATAGCTTTGTTGTAGTTTCCACTTTTATAAAATATTCGACCAAGATAGTTTAAAGACGCAGCGACGTCAACATGATTTGGACCTAACGATCGTTTTCGAATTTCCATAGCTTTTTCGTGAAACTCTCTAGCTTTGTCGTAGTTTCCAGTTTTATAATACACATTACCAAGATTGTTTAAAGACGCAGCGACATCAACATGATTTGGGCCTAACGATTGTTTTCGAATTTGCAGAGCTTTTTCGTGAAACTCTATAGCTTTGTTGTAATTTCCAGTTTTATGAAATATTCGACCAAGACAGTTTAAAGACGCAGCGACATCAACATGATTTGGACCTAACGATCGTTTTCGAATTTCCATAGCTTTTTCGTCAAACTCTCTAGCTTTGTCGTAGTTTCCAGTTTTATAATACACATTACCAAGATTGTTTAAAGACGCAGCGACATCAACATGATTTGGACCTAACGATTGTTTTCGAATTTCCAGAGCTTTTTCGTGAAACTCTATAGCTTTGTTGTAGTTTCCAGTTTTATAAAATATTAGACCAAGACAGTTTAAAGACGCAGCGACATCAACATGATTTGGACCTAACAATCGTTTTCGAATTTCCAGAGCATTTTCGTGAACCTCTATAGCTTTGTTGTAGTTTCCAGTTTTATAATACACATTACCAAGAATGTTTAAAGACATAGCGACATCAACATGATTTGGACCTAGCGATTGTTTTTGAATTTTCAGATCTTTTTCGTAAAACTCTATAGCTTTGTTGTAGTTTCCAGTTTTATAAAATATTAGACCAAGACAGTTTAAAGACGCAGCGACATTAACATGATTTGGATCTAACGATTGTTTTCGAATTTCCAGAGCTTTTTCGTAAAACTCTCTAGCTTTGTCGTAGTTTCCAGTTTTATAATACACATTACAAAGATTGTTTAAAGATGCAGCGACATCAACATTATTTGGACCTAACAATTGTTTTCGAATTTCCAGAGCTTTTTCGTGAAACTCTTTAGCTTTGTTGTAGTTTCCAATTTTATAAAATATTAGACCAAGACAGTTTAAAGACGCAGCGACATGAACATGACTTGGACCTAACGATTGTTTTCGAATTTCCACTGCATTTTCGTGAAATGCTCTAGCTTTGTCGTAATTTCCAGTTATATAAAACACATTACCAAGATTGTTTAAAGACATAGCGACATCAACATGATTTGGATCTAACGATTGTTTTTGAATTTTCAGAGCTTTTTCGTAAAACTCTATAGCTTTGTTGTAGTTTCCAGTTTTATAAAATATTAGACCAAGACAGTTTAAAGACGCAGCGACATTAACATGATTCGGACCTAACGATTGTTTTCGATTTTCCAGAGCATTTTCGTGAACCTCTATAGCTTTGTCGTAGTTTCCAGTTTTATAATACACATTACCAAGATTGTATAAAGACATAGCGATATCAACATGATTTAGACCTAACGATTGTTTTTGAATTTTCAGAGCTTTATCGTAAAACTCAATAGCTTTGTTGTAGTTTCCAGTTTCATAAAATATTAGACCAAGACAGTTTAAAGACGCAGCGACATCAACATGATTTGGACCTAACGATTGTATTCGAATTTCCATAGCTTTTTCGTAAAACTCTCTAGCTTTGTCGTAGTTTCCAGTTTTATAATACACATTACCAAGATTGTTTAAAGACGCAGCGACATCAACATGATTCGGACCTAACGATTGTTTTCGAATTTCCAGAGCTTTTTCGTGAAACTCTATAGCTTTGTTGTAATTTCCAGTTCTATAAAATATTAGACCAAGACAGTTTAAAGACGCAGCGACATCAACATGATTTAGACCTAACGATTGTTTTCGAATTTCCACTGCATTTTCGTGAAATTCTCTAGCTTTGTCGTAATTTCCAGTTATATCAAACACATTACCTAGATTGTTTAAAGACATAGCGACATCAACATGATTTGGACCTAACGATTGTTTTTGAATTTTCAGAGCTTTTTCGTAAAATTCTATAGCTTTGTTGTAGTTTCCAGTTTTATAAAATATTAGACCAAGACAGTTTAAAGACGCAGCGACATCAACATGATTTGGACCTAAGGATTGTTGTCGAATTTCCAGAGCTTTTTCGTAAAACTCTCTAGCTTTGTCGTAGTTTCCAGTTTTATAATACACATTACCAAGATTGTTTAAAGACGCAGCGACATCAACATGATTTGGACCTAACGATTGTTTCAGAATTTCCAGAGCTTTTTCATTATGATTTTTGGCTTTGCTATACTGTCCGGTGTCATGGTATAAAAGACCGAGGATACTAAAATACCAAGATTTGTCATAACTAGATTCTTCTGATTTAAATTTATCCAATAGTTCAAGAGCAAGATAGTATTTTCCATAATGTCTTAATCTGTCAACAAAATATTGGAAAACATATAATGTATTCATGTTGATTTTTGTCTTGTTGGTCTTTAATAATTGAACAATTTTTTCAAGATGTGTCATCAATTTGATTTCGTCGTCTCTCTTTTTAAACATGTAAAGTGCTTTACATATTTGATCAACGGTATGTTGATAAGAAGTCAAATTGCAGCCTTGCTCCATTTTATGTTCTTCATTCAACTGTTCAGATTGATAAATAATAATTGCTTTGTGAACAATGCGATGTAGACTAATGTCATTTATTTCTGAATGCAACAGCAACGAACAGTTATTTAAACAAAGACATATATCTTCCTTTGATTGTTTGGGATCAATTTCTTGAACATAAAAAACAATAATGTCTCGTGGTATAGGATCAAACGATATCACGGAAAAAAAGTTTATAACATTTGCCAATATTGAGGACTCTTCAGCATTTTGTTTGACAGCTAAAAGTGAAGCTTGTAACATACTTCTAGGATATACCGAGTTAAATTTAACAAAAGTGGCGTCCATGTTTTCTTCGTCTTCTGAAAACATTTTCTCTAAATATTGACTCCAAGTAAATGAGCAGTTTGTTTTGTTTACACGACTTACATAATAACCAGCAGCAGCCAAAGACAGCGGTTGACGATCTAATGCGTGCGATACTTCATTCAACAAGTGATCATCAGCATGTTCAATAGTGTAATGCTTCAACAGTTGAAAACATTCCTTATCATTCATTCCACTTCTGATAGAAATATGTTTGTTAAACTCATCGTCATGAGGTACGGCATCTGTGTTCTGGATGGTTACTATTATTTGTCCATTTATCCACATGGGATTACCAACTTGGGGAAGTAACGAAGAAATGTTGCTGAGCTGTACCACGTTGTCTACAATGATCAACCAAATTTGCCAGAATTTTAATCGTGTGGATACTAACGATCGCAAATTTTTCACTTTATCTGTAATGGAACAGTTTTCATCTTCAAATTTTTTAATCATATACTTGTCACAGTTTAAACGGTATCCAAGTTCACAGTAAGTTTTTAAAAGAGATTCCTCATTTTTTCCATCGAGAGTCATTACAAACGAAGTTTTATTTTTCCAATCACACGATATTTTTTCACAAATCTGTCTTGCAAGTTGTGATTTACCACTGCCAGGATTACCAGTGATGTAAAAATATGTCAGTTTATAATTTTTATCATTCCTTAAATTTTGAAGATCTTTTATAATTTTATCTCGTAATTCAGTGCGTTCAACGAAAAAATGATTAGGTTTTGAAGGCAGAACTTGGAACGAATTAAAACAGTTTCGATGATTTTTTATTTCAATGATTTCATCGAGAGAAAATTTGATATCTTGAAATGATTTTTCAATGATACTGACTATATTATCAAAATCGTCATCTGAGCATTCCCTTTCATACCAATGTGCGCACTTGTTTCTTTCACAACGAAGTGCATGAACAGCATCTTTTGTTTTGTTGTCAAGATGCTTTCCAATTGAATTTGAAAAAATTATAGCATCAAATAATATCGTACAGTCCCACTTACTGGTGTCTCCATCCAGATATTTTTGTCGTGTTTTTTGGTCTAATTTTCTTCCTGATTCTAAATTGTAAAATTTGTTACCACTGTTGTGTGTATCATCCCATTCTCCATAAGTTGATTTGTAACGAGAGTTCCATTGTTTAATGAAAAATTGATTAAGTTCCTTTTGTACCACATTAATTATTTGCTGAATGTACGATAGATTTCTTATTCCTGACGATTCCATCTGTAAAAATTTTTTGTATATATCAATAAGATAAAAATCAAGCAATTCCAAACATTCTATACAACCCTTATCAGATTCCATTTAAGTCCGAATTTACATGATGACGAAATCAAACTTATTTGTTAGTTGATTTAACTTTCCCAAAAACGTACTTAAATTAAAAAAGAATCTGAAAACTAATAATGACACAGAGCATGTATGCTACAGCTTTTACCAACTGCAGTATCCTGTCAAACAAACTTTAGAAAAATTAAAACAACATGATATTTTACCTTAAAGTTTACGTTACAAAACAGACATAGGAATATATTCTTCAATAATTTGCATAGTCATTTGTGAATGTCATGCATCTATAGCTAAGAATATGTTATGATGTTGTAGCCTTTTTTAAATTTACTAAGGTTTATGTTTATTTAATTTCATAGAAAACAAAAAAGAATATCTATTTTAAATATTGAATATGTATTGAATATATAATCAATAAATATTGAATATTTATACTTTTTTAGTTTATTATATTGTTCATTTGTTTAAAACTGATTTCATAGTGAGTGCACACATAAATATTTACATAACTGAATTAAGTGATCGGACTGGGGGGGGGAGGGGATAACTCCAAAGTATGCTTTTTGTGTAAATAATGCACTATCCTTGGATTTCTAGTTGAACCATTTTTAACAGCTTTTCACAAACTACATTTGTAATTATAAAATGAAATATAGATTTTTAACCTCATTTGCAATTTACTTTCAAAAACTCGCAGATAGTTGCTTTATGGAATATTGTAGCTTCTTGCCAACGTCTGTACACCATGGACAAAACACAAATAAATGTAACCCGTTAGCGTAGTTCTGTTTTTTTCTTATCGTCGTCCCTGTGACTTTAGTAACGCTTACTGTCGTCCATTTTTCTTACAGTTAAATTTCATGGTAAAAAACTGACTAAATCAATCTTGGAGACGAGCGGTGTGTACATTGTCGACTGCCATACCGAAATATTTACGTGGTAAGTTTTGTTAATGCTTTGTCAAAAATGGATAATCTTCTTATGTTGCATGACTTAAAATTAAATCGGAGTTGATGTTTTAAACAAGTTTAAAGTTGATTGAAATTATTAGTCAAAAAGGCGGCGCTTATTGGCAGCTCTATGCTATACCTGGATTCCTAGCTAAGACTTTCAGGTTTTGTGAACCTAAAATATCTTCAACTGTTCACGTTTTTAAGGTTGGGTAGAAAGTCGCCTCGTTTGGTGCGTGCAGCTGCTCTCAAACTTGCTCAAGAAATGAGAAATATGATTTCAAGACCGGATGAGGCTATCGTTAGTAGAAACTTGGGGAAGTAAGTGCTTCAAGGGCTTCGAACCGAATGTAAAATTAAATTTAGTTGTGGTTGAAAACAAGAAATGTATATTTTGTTTTGAAGAGACGAAACCTGGATTTTCAAGTCAAAGTTTCACGGCTGAGATGACGTGTTGCAAGTTGATTTCACCAGAACAGCTGAATCTGTGGCCAACAAAAGAAAATTGCCTGTGGCTAAGGTTCAAAACTATACATTTTTTTACAAATTTTATAGCGAGCACCTTAATTTTACAATGGTCAACTTGAGTTGATGGTTGTCAACTTGATTTGTTGGTGGTCAACTTGTCTTTATGGTGGTCTGCTTAATTAGGTGGTGGTCAACTTGTCTTGATGGTGGTCTGCTTGATTAGTGGTAGTCAGTTCAACTTAATACTAACAACTGGTTTTGTTGTGGTTGACTTAATTTTGTGTAGTCCCGTGCACCGCAGTTCCAGAGTCATTTTTGTCGTTTGTGCTGTGAAATTTCTCCAAAAAATACATGCATTGCATGTAACACAGTTGAAAATTTACTGCAAATGAAACTGATGCTCAAATGCATTTATTTGAATAACATTTAGCCCAAGAACAATAATGAAGTTGAACTAACTGAAAAAATTGCCAAGGTAAAGATACAGAAATTATAGAGCATGAATTGGTTTTGAGGACGTTAAAGACTTTCTGTGTTTGACATTTAATAGTTGTTTCATATTTATACCTAAATGTCACTTATTTAATGAGGTTGATTATATACGATGAAGAATTCGGCAAACCCATATCATTTGCATTAATCATTTACATCAACCTAAATATTGTAACTATAGACTTGCCGTGCGGAAAACAGATTCTTAGTAAAAACACGATGAAGAATTGTGCAAAGCCATATCATTTGCATTAACCGTTTACATCAACCTAAATATTGTAACTATAGATTTGCCGTGCGGAAAATCTATTTGCCATGGGTTCTTAGTAAAAACACGATCGCCCAACAGAAAATTTTAACACCATTAAATGGGTTTTTTTAAATTTTAATGAGTGACATTAAGTGATTCCCAGTGTCATAAGAAGTTTGAAATTACATATTACATACATGACTTACTGTTGATAAGTCTGTGCATTTTATAAAGAACAGCATTACTTTTTACGATTACTTTTTGTTCGCTTGCATGCATAAATGTTGTTTCACTTTTTTTCGCGTCATAAAGCAGTAGCATGCACAAAGAAAGTCCTATCCTTCGTTTTAACGAAACATGCATGAAAATTTTTATGAAAACATTGTTTTTTACATTATGATGGAAGTTTCTTAATGACACTTGGGTTGACTTAACGGCATTGTTTACACAACGACAAGCTCCGATGCCAGATTCCGAAGTTGTGAGTTGAATATATCATTGCATTCTTCTGCACGCATCGTGTTATCATCATGTAACCTTTATTGTACTTTGTGATCCCTTAGGAACAACTCGTGGAAGAGTGAAACG